AAAACCATCATGTATACTATGATATGGAGTCGTCACTCAACTTACATGCTTGGAGCATGAGAAGTATAAAATACCAATCAATCTAAATCTAAGTAATGAATCGTTAGATTATGGTCAAGAAAATCCAAAGTACTTCGATAAGTAAAAGGGGATAAGTTCTTGACGCATAGAAACAATTGTAATTTGAGAATTGATGTTGCAAGCACATCCTTAGCACGAATTAGATCCTTAATAAGGAAGTCGTTTATAAGCACGAGCTAGAATGCGTCGTGGCTTGAGAATGGTAACATGGATGCGGATCCATGTATAATGTGCGGAAATTTAAGGTAAATTTCCATAATCACAAGTGGTTAGGGTCTCCCAAATCATTGTGAGTCGTTTGGAATAAAATCCAAAGCAAGGCTTCATCAGGAACTCTACTGAAATATATGTTGAGAATATTGTTGCCTTAAAGGCAATAATAAAGAAAGGTGTTCAATGGAAAGTTCGTTGTCGAACGTTGATTGTAGGTTGTCATGTTGAAGATCTCAAATCATGAAAATGAGTGGGAGCCATCACATGGACAATAAATCCTAAATAACAGATAATCCATTACACTCTCAAATTCTATCGTCTTATTATGAAAATGTTCATTAATGAAGATGTTGAGATTTGCAAAGTAAATTGTAACTAAACCTATGCAAAAGGTGAACAACAACATTCACAATTGCATGAAAGAAATCAAACATACTAAATATGGGTGTGATTTCTATAAATGTTCAATGAAGAGTATTACTCTTGAACCATTTGAAGAAAACCATTTATCATAAGATGAAACGTTAAAAAGTTTCATGGTGGAATAAAAATTCTACTAATAAATTCCACAAACTATTTGATTGTGGTTCAGAATCAAATAATGAGTCCATTCGATTTGTGAAAATACTCAAAACAGGGTATCAAGACATGTCTTGGATAAAGAAACACCTGTTAAGTGAACATTGAATGTTTAAATTTAAAATTATCCCTAATCGAGGCCATTTAACTGGTGGACGATTAATGACCACTGGAGATTAGTGTGTGGTATGATTTACAGCACCGTTTCTTGTGCTGCAAGGACATGATGGTCATAAATCATTTTCACAGGTGCCAGTTTGGAACTGCACTGGATCGACCTATGAGAGTACTTTCAGAGATTTAAAATTGTCATAAGTACATTTCTCATTATAGCTATCGGAACTCGTTTCCTCGACCATGAGTATTGTGAAGTTTTCTTGTTTGAAAACTAGTCTCTTTGATGTTGCCTAACGTCTGCCGTAACTAAGGATCATAACGGGAACACTCAGGAGATTAGGTCCTCTTTGTTGTTTACAAGGCCGCTCGATGAGCGAGACTGTGAAAATGCATGGTCGTGCTCAGATGGATTTTAGAAATCATCTGCTTATTGACAGTCGAACTCGGAGATCGAGAAACACTTTTGAACGTAGTAATGATGACGATGAATCTTACCTTATAGTTCACGAAGAGACATTAAGTGACATAGGAAATGGGCTATACACTATATACACACTTGTCCGGAAGGACAAGTGGGAGATTGAAAGGAATGGTGTCCTTCCAACAAGTGTATTATTCTGATAAAGGGTTCAGAATTATCGGAAAGTTAATTCTTCAGTAAGGTCAAGTGATCGGAATGTCTAGATGGAGGCCGCTTTCGATCAGTAATATTAATGTACAAGTAATATTACAGCTTAATCTTGACTAAACCCTTCGGGTCGAACCCAATCGAACAATCGATCCGAGACGACGAATCAATCCGAGGGATTTTGATGAGTCGTCGGAGTTTTACGAACAAAGACGTCGGATATCGAGCTTAGAGCGTCGAGATCGAGCATCGCAAGTCGAGTCGAATTTGGAATTCGACGAGACGTAAAATCAATCGATTTACAAGTACGAACCTAGCCGTAGCCTCGCATTGGCCTAGCCATGTGAGTACTAGGCGCTGGCGCTAGGCACGGCCTAGCACTACTCATCGCACCATGGCAACATATGCGTGTGTGTATGCATTGCTAGCACAGCACCATGCACCATCGCAGCATGTGCGTGTGCGTTGGTAGCACAGCAGCATGCACCATCGCTGCATGGGCGTGTGCGTATGCATCACTAGCACAGCACCATGCACCATCGCAGCATGTGCGTGTGCGTTGGTAGCACAGCACCATGCACCATCGCTGCATGGGCGTGCGCGTATGCATCACTAGCACAGCACCAAGAAGCAGCGTGCTTGTGCGTGTGGGTAGCAATGTAGTGCCCAGCATGCGTGGCTCGCTAGCAACACGCATGCTAGCAGTGGTTGGGAAGCTTGCTAGGTGGCTGCGTTATGTGATAGCAGTGCTGGCTTGCAAGCACAGCCAAGGCGCCAGGCGCCGGCAAGGCTGCCTTAGCTGCCAAGGCTGGCTGGTAGCCAATTGTCCCTGCCACATGGAGGATCCGGTTGTGTGTGGGGACCAAGGGTTAAGGCAATTGCCTTGGGCACCAAGGCCATGGTCCCCTCCTCTTGGAATGGTCCTAACCTACCTACTCTTCTCCATGTGCCACATGTAACTCATTGATTCCTTTGCATTTTATTTTGTTTTGATTAAAATAAAATAGTGGAAAAATGCAATTCTCCCACATTGATGGGAGAAGGGAGAATCAAGTCTCCTTTCCCTATAAATACTCTAGTTTTGGGTTTAGGAAAAACCACTTGAGTAGAACTCAATGAGGCATCTCCCTTAAGGTGAGAAAACCTCTAAGTTCGTAAAACTCCAGTTTTTATTGGTCGAGTCCCGACTAACCTTCGGGACTTGGACCGTACGGGTCGGGTCCGTGGGTACGAGCCATTGGAGGCGTTCACACTGGTGACGCTCGAGCTTTCGAAGTAAGAGCTCGATTTGCGGGCGCAGCACACATCAAAGGTATAATCTTTTATCCTTTCTTATGCTTTAAATTATGTTTTGCTTGTTAATTGCAATTTTATGGGGGCGGGTCTTGGCGGGTTTCATTCCGCGTAGTGCGGGTCACTACGAAACCCAACACCTGACTCGTGTCATCTCCTTAATGGTCAGCAAAGGCTCAATTCCCTTTGTGACACGTGTCCAAACCCTAACACAGGGAAATAAAGTTCCCCACTATAAATAGTGGGGGAGACCACATTTATGGGATATATACAAAAACATCAAAACGCAAACCCTAAGCAATAAATAATTGTAGAATTCTCCCAATTAGCGAGAAGTATTTACTGTTCCGAATTTATTACATTAGACATATTCTAACTTAATCGTCGGAGGCGGAACTCCACCCCCCAGCCGGAGTCTCCGTGATTTTGCAGGTACAGACATCGGACTGCGCATATTAGGAATTGTAACTCTCCCGCATGACACATCGAAAAACCCCGAAACATCTAGCGCCGTCTATGGGGAGAGTACTTCCTAGATGACTTCTAAGCCTGTACCGCCTAGTGAGAGTAAGCAGCCTCCCGGCAAACCTGAGGTCCATTCGGACCAAGACACCTATGACAATTATGAAGTTGAAATTTATACTGCCCTAGACGGGTCTTTTAGAATAAAGCGCACCCATTCCAAAGGAAGGAAGGAACGGGATAAGGCTGAGGCTGCTCCTAGCAGCCTGACCGGAAGGCCGGCTGGGTCAACCCAGGCGGCGGAAGGAGATGCTCCAGTCTCTAGAGACGAACTCTTGAATCTCATGATGAGTTTCAAAGGGGAGATCAAAAGCCTCCTTAACAAGTCATCCAACCCTCGTAGGGGTCAGGCGGAGGAAAAACCTCGTTTCGGAAAGAAAACGACCAAGACGTTGAAATATCGCATGCCTACGCCTCACCCAAAGACAAAGGTGACGGATAGGATCATCGACATTTTGAAACTTCGTTTCCTTGCAGAGGGAATAAAGAATCCCATACGGCATATACAGCCGGATGGATCAAAAAAGACTTACTCTAACGCTCGAACTCTAATTCAGGAAAAGAGAAGTCACCACATGTCCGCGTCGGCCTCCACGTCGACCTACCCGGACAGTTTCCAGAATGCATCCATGCAGCATTCTGAGACAAATATCATCCATCCGGCACAGTATGGGTCACTATACATGCCGTATGGAGCTCCCTACAAGCAGCCGGCCCTCTTTGGGGGTCAGTCGTCACATGTCCAGCCTATGGACTGGCAGCTCCGCCTGCTAAACCTTAGGGAACAGCCTACGGCGTTCTCGAAGGATATAATTGAGGCGGCACAGCTGGCCAAAATAAAAAAAATGTATTGGTTGGTGCCTATGATGGTACCACCAATCCGGAAGATCACCTCATGGCTTACACCAACCTGATGTATTTGCAGGGTTTGGAGGACACCTCCTGGTGCATATGCTTCCCGGCTACTTTGAAGGGCATTACCCAGCGGTGGTTTGGCAATTTTCCAGCCGGATGTATCAACAATTTTAGAACGTTGGCTTACTGGTTAACTTCAAACTTTTCCATGAACATTCCTGCCAAAAAGACGACCCTTGATTTAGGGGCAATACAGCAGGGAGAGAAGGAAGGACTAAGGTCTTATGTCAGGCGGTTCAATCTGATGAGAATCCAGATTCAGGGGTTGTCTGATGATGTTGCCTACACAGACTTCTTTAGGGGTCTGAAAGACGGGTCTACTTTTAAGTTTGATCTGGTCAGAAATAGGGTTTCCACTCTCCACGAGGCCTTGATGGAAGCGGAGGCCTATATACAGGCGATGGAACTTTGTGCTGTAAAAATTCCATCAGAGTACAAGAAAGCTGATAAGAGAGAGAGCAGGCCTACTCAGCCGGCAAAGAAGGAAGAAAGGAAAAGGAAATAAGTATGGGCGGCAGAACCTGCTGGTCAGCCGTCCCAGAAAAAAGGAAGGAGATCAGACCCATACGTTCCGAAGTATGAATTTACAAAGGACTGCACCTCCATTCTAAAGGAAGTAAGAGACTGGTTGAAACTCGAGAAGCCGGCAGCAATGAAGAGTCCCGTCAGCAGCCGGGACAAAAGTAAATATTGCCACTTTCATGAGGATGTTGGTCATGATACGGAGGGTTGCTTCAGTCTCAGGCGGTTGTTTGACCGCTTAGCTGATGAGGGGGCACTGAAATCTTACATGCCCAAGTCCAGGGATTCCCCTAGGCAGATCAAAGGACAGCCGTCAAAAACGCCGGCTGGTCATTCTGACACGGATGAAGAAACAATCTTCACCATAGTAGGCGGTTTCGCTGGTGGGGGTCCTACCATCCGGGGAGCCAAGGACAATATTGGGAGGCTGATTAACTTAGTTGATGAGGGTCAGTCGTCTAAACACACCTTCCCAGAGGTTCTCATCCCTGAAAAAGATCAGGGCCAGGTCAGGCGGCCTCATGATGATCCCATAGTCATTGAATGTAAGATAGCTAATCAGCGAGTAGGCCGGATCCTCATAGATACCAGGAGCTTGTCTGATCTCATAGGCTATCAGTGCTTGAAAAAACTCAAGTACAATCCTGGAAACATGCATCAAGCTCCTCACCCTTTAGTTGGTTTTGGGGGAGGAGTAGTACATCCGGTTGGTAGGGTTGACCAACCCATCCAGCTGGGTGAAAAGGGGAGCGGACGTCACATGGTCGTCAAATTCCTTGTTGTTGAGGAACTGACGGCCTACAATTTGATCTTGGGACGTCCAACCCTTAATGTTTCCAAAGCGGTCATCATACCGTCTCTCATGTTGATAAAATTTGAGAAGGATGATGGCACAATCGGTTCCTTAAGTGGGGACCAAAAGACGGCAAGAGAGTATTACCTCTCAGACGTTAAATCAACAATGGTCGCAGACGGTCAGAGTGAGGAAATTGTAGAACTCGACGTCTCTGAGCAACAAGCACCGGCTCCAAGGGCAGCCGGTAAAAAGAGAAAGGCGGACCAAATGGCACCCGCAGGGAAAGAAAAGCTATAGAAATCACTGTCCGGGGAGAGGTCAGACAACCTCCGACCCCATCCGGCAGGCGAGAGTATAGATATCGTCTTAGATGAAAGCCGCCCGGATAGAACTGTCAAAGTTGGGACGGTTGCTTTTGAAAGGTTGGGAGTAGACTTGCTCCTACTGATAAGAGAATTTAAGGATCTCTTTGCATTTGAAGTGGAAGAGATGCCGGGCGTCAGTCTGGATCTAGTTGTCCACAAACTTGACGTGGATCCAAAAAAGAAGCCGGTTAGGCAAAAGAAGAGGAACCACGGTGACGAAAAATCTCAGGCGGCAGCCGCCGAGGTCAAGAAGCTACTGGATGCCGAGTTCATTCGGCAATGCTACTACCCGGATTGGGTAGCAAATGTTGTCCTTGTGAAAAAGCCGAATGGAACCTAGCGGATGTGTGTAGATTACACATATTTGAACAGAGCATGTCCAAAGGACAGTTAACCGCTTCTAAAGATAGACAATTTGGTCGATTCTATAGCCGGTCATGCTCTGATGAGCTTCATGGATGCCTATTCAGGTTTCCATCAGATTCCCCTTTGGAAGAAGGATCAGGAAAAGACGGCATTCGTCACTAATCAGGTGTTATATTGTTACACGGTAATGTCGTTTGGGTTGAAAAATGCGCCTGCTACCTTCCAACGAATGATAAACACGGTCTTCTCCAATCAGATCGGGAGGAATGTAGAAGCATATATTGATGACATGATAGTCAAGTCCAAATTGCAGGCGGATCATCTAGCTGACCTCCGAGAAACCTTCACCACCCTCAGGCGGCATAAGGTTATGCTTAACCCCAAAAAGTGTGTCTTCGGTGTTGAGTCTTGGAAGTTTCTCGGATTTCTGATTGATCAAAGGGGCATAGAAGCCAATCCAAATAAGGTGCAGGCGGTGATTGACATGAAGTAGGCCTGTCTCCCGCAGGCGGTTTACCAGGGGCACCAGCAGCCGGTGCAAGAGCCGGCATTCTTGGCACCTTTGCAGCTGGCAAAGGTAGCTCCCCTACCGGTCTTTTCACCATTTTGGACAAGGAGCACGTAACCGTCTTGTTCCCTGCCTGAAAACGTACAAAAAACAGCCGGTTAGTGGCCAGTTTACATACAAGTGGTACAGCCGGCAAAAAAAGGTTTGAGAAATATGTTACCCCTCCATCCTTAGCCGCCAGTTGCGACTTCTTATTTTCAATTTGCTCCTTCCGGAGCTGAGCAGCTGATGTAGCCGGAGTTTTCTCTTTGGGTAGCTTCTCCATAGCTACTTCTGCAAAAACAAAAGATGTTATTTAAATACAGTACAAGTTAGCCATATCAAGCGGCAGAGGCCGGTTAATTCAAAAAACCTACTCTTAGTGAACATGGTGCTAAGGTTACAGGCGGAAAGAAACGCCTCATCCATGAACCAGTCTGGGTGGGGCACCTAGAATAGGGGAACTATAATCTCGCTCCCATCATCCAGGCGGAGGGTCGTCTTTTTAAAGAGACCCTTCTCCATGATCTGATCCCATGCCTCACTCGGCACTCTTGGGAGAGCACACTTCTTCCCGAGCAAAGCCGGGTTCTTATTATATCTACGCAGCCGGCAGTTTAGTTGGGAAGTTGGTGAAGAAACGGCGTAAAATTTTCTCTTCCAACTACTCCATTTGGACGGTTTGTCCATAGTCATCATGTATTCCGGGTGCGTGGTTAGAGTATACCAAGCATTCAATCCACCCGGCGCCCGGCTCAGATAGTGCATATGTGCGAAAGCTTCCCAGCTGGGCTTAACCTCCTGCATCTCGCAGGCGACAATATATCCAAGAATGTTGACCCATGAGTTGGGGGTCAACTGCCAAACACCCAGACCATACCCCCGTAAAATAGCTTTAATGCAATGGTGGAGGGGGAACCGGAGGCCGGCTTTGAATGCCGCCTCATAGCAGTTGAAGTAGTTGTCGACATGTTCAATGTTGTCTTCCCAGACAACAATTGCCTCTACAGGCGGTACTACTATTTCCCATCCTTCCCCAACCGGCTTCTTCTCCAAAAAAGCCGGGAATGTGGCATTTAGAGTGACCACATACCTGGCGGTCATGCTGAACTCGGTTGGGTTTCTTGCAGGCGGCCACTTATAGGCTTCCTCATCAATGGGAGCACTTGCCTCTGAAGACTCAAAGCTGGACTCTTCGCCGGTTTCCTCGTCGGCTGAGTCAGAATCATAAAGGATGTTGTCATCCGGGGTACTAGGGGCACTCGGCGCATCATGCAATGTTCTGTCAGACGGCACTTCGGCCTAGTCTTCGTTTAAGGGTATAGCCGGGTCGGCGGCTGCGTCATCAGACTTATAGTCGGGATCTGTTGCCGTCCATCTGGTCCGAGCCATTCTGTCCTGTACATGAACAGAGACGATCGGATTCGAGGTAGATGAAGGGTGATCCAAATACCCCCAGATGGCATCCCCAATCCTAGACTCAGCCGTCTCAGGTGACCAACTGACCATAGGCATAGGCTGTGCTGTGTGTGTTTTGAAAGACCCCATTTACTCTATACAAACTGCACAACCGGGAAATGGGAAGTTTAAAGAACAACCAAAATGAAAGTTGTACCTTTTAGTTGATGAAGACAACCGTAATTGAAAAAAGTGGCTTGAAGATGCCTCAAACAATAGAACCCGGATGTGTTTAAAGCTGAAAAAAAAAACAAAATAAAAATCAGCCGGTTTTCTATAAACTCACTCAAAATACCACAGACGAAATTAACCGCCTGTGGTTGTTTAGAAAGATAAGAGGCAATTTGAGAAGTCCACTCCAAGATACCCCAGACGGCATCAAGTGGATGATTTCAGAAGTGCCCCAGGCGGTCTACAACCGAATGAGGGTCTACAAAAAGAAAATAGCAAATTATTCTCAAATACCCCAGGCGGTCTACAACCGGATGAGGGTCTACAAAAAGAAAATAGAAAATTGTTCTCAAATACCCCAGGCGGTCAACAACCGGATGAGGGTCTATGAAGAAAAATAGAAAAAACTGCTCAAATACCCTAAGCGGTCTACACCCGGCTGTGTATCTATTCAAAAGGCAGTTATAAATTGTTCAGAGGTATCCCAGACGGTGCAAAACCGGATGGGGGTCTATGGAAGGGAATTTTAAATTGTCTAGTTATACCCCAGGCGGTGCATAACTGGCTGAGGGTAAAGTAAGCAATTGAGATGCAAGATTATTCAGGCGAAATTTCCCCGGCTGAGGGTATAGTGAATCACTTGGAAAAAAAAACCTGAAGGGACCCCAGCCAGTACCTTACCGGTTGGTTTTGTTTTGAAAAACCATTGCTATAAAGTTCCCCAGGCGGTGTTTTACCGGTTGTTATTTACAAAGCATAAAAGAGAAAAAGGGGTCATCCGGTACCTTGGTAAGATGATCCAGGAGATGCCCAGCCGGTAGCCGGATGCGATTGATTTTCAGTAGCCGGATGCAGAGAATTTCTTGGAAATAAGAGTCAGCCGGGGTCAGAGCTCTCAAGAAATTTTTTGAAAAATTATGTAAAGTGTTGAAGAAAGAAGGTTCGTTCCCTATTTTATAGGAAAATAGCAGAAGGTGAATAGACGCCTTCTGACTTGGAATTCAAAATTCGAAATTCAAAAAAAAAAAAAAGGAGAAGAGCGGGAAAGTAGACCAACCGTCACTTACCCAAGCGTCTGACGCCTGTCACAGGTGACACGTGGCAATGCCACGTCCCACCTGTGAGGGGCAGATGTTTAGGGTAAAAATCACCCTAGACACGTGGCCCAATAGGCCCCTGACACGTGTCATCCCCTTAGTGGTCAACAAAGGCTCCAATTTCTTTGTGACACGTGTCCATTGAACCCTAACACAGGGAAATAAAGTTCCCCACTATAAATAGTGGGGGAGACCACATTTATGGGATATATACAAAAAAATCGAAACACAAACCCCGAGCAATAAATAATTGCAGAATTCTCCCAATGAGCGAGAAGTATTTACTGTTCCGCATTTATTACATTAGACGTATTCTAACTTAATCATCGGAGGCGAAACTCCACCCCCCAGCCGGAGTCTCCGTAATTTTGCAGGTACAAATGTCGGACTGCACATACTAGGAATTGTAACTCTCCACAGGACACATCAAAAAACCCCGAAACATCAACTATATGTGAAAATTTTAGTTCATTTCAAGGATTGAAAGGGGCTAACTGCAATTTCACTAATCCATGTTACTACATTTGATCCATTTGCAAATTAAAAATTGGACATAGTCTAAGGAATATTCAAGTGGATCTAATTTCTACTTAACCTGCCAAGGGACTAATTGCATGCACAAGGCACTTTGTAAATGTTATGATAAGATATAAAATACGATGACAGTAATTAACTAATTATGCTACAAAGTTATGCTACAATAGACATAGTAAACATTTATTTAGTTAACCTAGTAGATTATAAAGCTGAGTTAATCTAAAATTGAGTTTCAACCATGTAAAAAATTTATTTCATTTCAATGTTCCTAAATATTTTAAAGAGTTAACTAAAGGACCTAAGTTTTTGGAAATTGACAAGTTATTAATTGAAAGGTAGGTTACTATCTGGTTAATAGGCCAATTTTTTAATTCTAAGTCCCAAAAAGTGAAAAGAAAAAAAATATACAGGTCTCAAAAGGTGAAATACACACAAACTTAGACCCTCAATGTTATACTTAACCCAGCTTTATAATCTACTAGGTATTTGCCGGTTTGTAGATCTTTAATGGTTGGATATCAATACTAAAAGACATGACTCTATTTCAACTTGTTTTATTTTCTAATTTAATGACTTTACAGAAAAAAATGAATAGCACATTTGAATATATAAGCATCTAACATTTTTGATGATTTTATTTACAAGTAAAAGAATGACTAAGGGTATGTTTCGATTTACTGAAAACAACTGAACTGAACTAAACTAAATTGAACTGAATAGAGCTGAAATGAATTGTTTATGAGAGAAGGAAATTAG